TAATAGGCTTTTCAAGGGTTTGCAATAGGCTTCTCAACTTTTCAATCTTTTCTCTGTCCAACTCTCCTTGTTTCCGAGACATCTGTAGTACTCTGGTGATTTTCCTAGTTGGCACTTCTTCAAATTGAATGTTAGTGATATCTTTCTTTAAACTGAAACAAGTCCTAAGATATAATCAGAAATAACTCTTAGCAATGAAGGCTAAAGAAGGAAAAATGGCTATGAAGGCTTTAACAGGGTTTGGCAATGAATGCCTAAAATAGAAGTCAGCAATGAAGGCTGAAAATTTTACTTCCCAATAAGAGCCTACAGCTCTAATACCGTGTGGAAAAACTAAGAAATAAATTTATATGAAAAACTAATAGTAAAAACTGAATGTATATTGAAAAAACTGCTTATTAAGAATTATACAAGAACTTTAGGTTTATATACGACTAACTAGGGGTTAAACTAAGAAACTAAATATTCCTAAAAACTGATCCTATAATTGAGCGATTGTCTATCTTAATTTTTTGTCCTTAATTCTAGGGATACAAATATTTAATTCTAGAGATACAAATCTAAATATACAGATTCTAAGATTACAACCAGCTGTAAATAAATGATTTCCCACATTTAACCTAATTTATTTTTTCCTTGAGAGAAAGATGAAGGAGATGGGTGCTAGTTGAAAGTATCTTACTGATTTTTTCTGTTGAATATGTGCAGGGGGCCTTTGTTAAGATTAGAGAGGAGGCAAAGGCATATCTTGAGATGAAGGGATTACTGATTTTTTCTTTTGAATATGTGCAGGAGGCCTTTGTTAAGATTAGAGAACAGGCAAAGGCATATCTTGATATGAAGTGTGAACTTACAAGCGGCCTTAATTTGATCAACAGCACTAATCTGGAATATTTTCCTGTGAAACACAAGGCAGAAATTTATCGCATTAAAGGGGACTTCCTGTTAAAGTTAAATGATTCTGAAGGCGCTAATCTTGCATACTCCAATGCTATATCCCTTTTTAAAAATTTGCCTAAAGGGTGGCTAAGCTGGGGAAGTTATTGTGACATGGTATTATTTATCTGCTTTTTCATGCTATAGATTTCAATGTTTAATTAGGGATAGCACTGATCTTTTGTTTTTACATTACAGGCTTATAAAGATAGTCATGATGAGATTTGGTTAGAATATGCTGTTAGTTGCTTTCTTCAAGGCATTAAATTTGGTGTTTCTAATTCAAGAAGCCATCTAGCTCGTGTGCTGTATCTTCTAAGCTTTGATACTCCCAGTGAATGCGTGGGGAGGTCATTTAATAAGTATTGGGACCAAATTCCCCACTGGATCTGGCTTTCTTGGATTCCACAGTTATTACTTTCCTTGCAAAGGACAGAAGCACCTCATTGCAAACTTGTGCTTCTTAAAATTGCTACTGTTTATCCGCAGGTAAATGTTTATTCTTCTCCCCGACATAAACAACATATTTCATTCTTGAAATTTTTCTTGACTTGTTTCCATTTAAAATTCCCAGGCACTCTATTACTGGCTCCGAACATATTTGCTTGAGCGTCGTGATGTTGCAAATAAATCAGAACTTGGCAGTATTCCCATGGCTCAGCAAAGAATGCAACCGAATATCTCTGGCACCAATTCTGGTTCTCTTGCCTTGGCTGATGGAAGTGATAGGGTACAGAGTCATTCTGGAGGCAATTTAGCACCAGACAATCAAGTTCATCAAGGATCTCAATCTAGTACTGGAATTGGATCTCATGATGGGGGGAACTCTCACGGGCAAGAACCTGAGCGATCCACTGTAACAGAGAGCAGTGTGCACACAGGAAATGAGCAACCTCTGCAACAAAGTTCATCAAGCATCAGTGATGGGGGACAGGGTGCAATGAGGCGTAATGGCACTTTGGGTTTGGTTGCTTCTGCTGCTTGTGCTTTTGATGCTGCTAAGGATATAATGGAGACCCTAAGAAGAGAGCATGCTAATTTGGCTAGGGAACTTGAGGTGAGAATTGAATAAAGGGAAGGAACATTTTGTTTCATGACCATTCTACATGCAATTTTTAAAATGATTATCCATTAATGTTGTATAGGTAAACCATGAGTCAGGATGTTTGCTCTATTACCTGCACCATTCAGCTTTAGTTGGATGTTTATAAATTAAAGGTTTACCTTTTCCCAGGATCTCTTAACAGAAATTGGCTCAAGGTTTGTTACTCTGCCTGAGGAGAGACTTCTGGCAGTGGTTAATGCACTGCTGCACCGCTGTTACAAGTACCCAACTGCTACTACAGCGGAAGTTCCCCAATCTCTCAAGAAGGAGCTCTCTGGTGTTTGCAGGGCTTGCTTCTCTGCAGATGCTGTTAAGAAGCATATGGATTTCGTTAGGGAGTACAAGCAGGATTTTGAGCGTGATCTAGATCCAGAAAGTACAGCTACATTTCCTGCCACTCTTTCTGAACTGACTAAACGACTAAAACACTGGAAAAATATCCTCCAGAGCAATGTTGAGGACAGGTTTCCAGCTGTTCTGAAGCTGGAGGAAGAAAGAAGTGTGTTACGCGACTTACATGTGGTTGATGTAGAGATTCCAGGGCAGTATTTCAGTGATCAGGTAAATAAAATCAGTACTTTCATATTAGTTACTGTCCTCTTTTTGTTGTATGACACAACAAATCTGCCGGAGATTGCCATCCCAGTCTTCCAGACTATCTGAATGCAATCATATTATCAAACTTCCCTGAATTTTTCAAAAGAGTGCAGCATACGCACCGAAGTTCAAATTTGCAATCAGTTTGTCCTTGTTCTGATTAAACTAATTCATCTCTTGGACCTCCAGGAAATTGCACCTGACCACACGGTGAAGTTAGACCGGGTTGGAGCTGATATACCAATTGTTCGAAGGCATGGAAGCAGTTTTCGCCGTTTGACTCTGATTGGCTCTGATGGTTCTCAACGACATTTTATTGTTCAGACGTCTTTGACTCCTAATGCTAGAAGTGATGAACGGATATTGCAGCTCTTCCGTGTAATGAACCAAATGTTTGATAAGCACAAGGAATCCAGACGTCGTCATATATGCATTCAAACACCCATTATAATTCCTGTTTGGTCACAGGTGATTGGTCTTGCAATATAAATTCTCTAATTCTTCGATTTTGTTTTGTAGTTCTGTTGCTGTAGGCATGAGAAGTTTTCAGTAGATATCATGTAACAAATTTTCCGTAGTAGACTTGATCTGCTTGGCAGTTGGTCCGATCGATGATATTACTATGTTATTCCTTTTTTATTCTCACCCAAGATATAAGAATAATCGCCTTCGTTTTACAGGTGCGCATGGTTGAAGATGATTTGATGTACAGTACATTTCTTGAGGTGTATGAAAACCACTGTGCAAGGAATGACAAAGAGGCAGATCTTCCCATTACCTATTTCAAGGAGCAATTAAACCAAGCAATATCAGGACAAATTTCACCTGAAGCTGTGGTAGATCTCCGCCTCCAAGCATATAATGATATAACAAAAAGTTTTGTAACAGATGGTATCTTTTCCCAGTACATGTACAAGACCCTGCCAAGTGGCAATCACATGTGGGCTTTCAAAAAGCAATTTGCCATCCAGTTAGCTCTGTCGAGTTTCATGTCTTTCATGCTACAAATCGGTGGAAGGTCCCCGAATAAGATTTTATTTGCGAAAAACACTGGAAAAATATTCCAGACAGATTTTCATCCTGCATACGATGTGAGTGGTATGATTGAATTCTGTGAACCTGTACCCTTCCGTTTGACAAGGAACATGCAAGCATTCTTCTCTCATTTTGGTGTGGAAGGCCTTATTGTATCAGCAATGTGTGCTGCAGCACAGGCTGTAGTCTCACCCAAGGTAAGTTTTCTGAGCATTTGTGTCAATACTAACCAAAAAATCACCATTTAACGACAATAATGTTGATTCACCTTTTCTCCACTACCATGCGTTGCAGCAAACTCAGCATTTGTGGTATCAGCTAGCCATGTTTTTCCGTGATGAGCTGCTTTCATGGTCTTGGAGAAGACCACTTGGTATGCCTCTTGCCCCTGCTGCTGGAGGTGGTAGTTTGAATCCTGTTGACTTCAAATATAAGGTTACTACTAATGTGGAGAATGTTATTGGCCGGATCAGCGGAATAGCTCCACAGGATTTCTCCGAAGAGGTAAAAGTTTCTGTTCCCTTTACACGCTTTCCTTTGCCTGTTTCTTGCTCATCCAACTTAAAACACCGATTGTTTGCGGTGCATTCAGGAGGAGAATGTAATGGACCCTCCGCAATCAGTACAGAGGGGTGTTACTGAGTTAGTTGATGCTGCCTTGTTACCCAGGAATTTGTGCATGATGGATCCAACATGGCATCCATGGTTTTGATGAAGTACTTGTTTTTATATACATTGCCTCAATTTCGACTGTTGTAAATAATGTACATATGATTTTCTTTGTTTTAGAAATATAGAAATTGTTTTCAGATATTATTTTGTCACCAATTCTGGAAACGGGAAAACGCATCTCTACATGTAAATAAAAAAATTAATGGAAACAGTAAATAAAAAAATGATGCTCTTTTGAACAGCTAATGTTTTTTCACCATACCAATAGGATTTTAATGTTTGAATCCGAGCATTTATAATTTTTTTTTCTTTCTCAATTTGAAGATTGCAATTTTTTTTTTTTTATTGGATGGTAGAAGCAAGTCAACTTTTTTTTTCGCATAAAAATTGATGAGTTCGTTTTCTATATAAATTTAGGATAATTTTCCTAAATTTATTTGGACTACCTTTACAAATATGACAGTTGTTTTGATCAGTAATTTGTTGAGTTGTGGGGTTTGATGATTTTATAAATTTGTTGATCAAAAACATATTGGAAACGTTAATTTACAGATGACAAAAAAAAAAAAAAAAACAAGGTAAGGGAGAAAGTAGAAGAATCAAATTTATTCATTCACTTCTTTCATGATCTTACTATCCAGTGAAGTTAATGAACTACCCAGAAACAATCTAGACCTTTTTTCCCCTTTATTTTTTTATTTTTGGAGAAATGACAAAAGTAAGTTGTGAATGAGAAAAAGAAGTCCAGAGATGGGTGTCAAGAAAGACAACCAAACAAATACCCACCATAAAAACCAAAAAGTTATCAGTCATCTTCTTGCACCTCCAGAGGAAAGCGTAGGTGCTTCCCTTTCGGTGTTGGCAAGCCCTTCAAGCGTATTATATCAAGGGAGACGCCAGCTGAATCATCACTTTCTGCACACTCTTCTTCCCCTTCAATCTCATCATCACTGTTGCATACAAATCTTGTGTGCTTTCCTGTGAATATCTCTTTCATGCTTATCTTGCTTAAACCTTCACACAGCTTATCAACTAATCCTCCATCATCCTCTTCTACCTCTTCTTCTTCTTCTTCATCTTCATCTTCATAGTAGTCATCTCCCATTTCTTCAATTTTTTCCTCATCTTCATCATAGGTGCTTGCATTAACCTGGATTGACCAAAGAGATGCGTTGTCATCATCAGGTGATGGCTTCTCTTTGCATGCACTACTTTCTCCAGCCATCACTCCCTGATCGGTCACCACTGAATAGCATTCTGATGAATCTGAGGATTCTGATTTCTCAGAAAAATCGAGCAGCAAAGACCTAGTTATGGGACTTTTCTGGGATTCAAGACTCAGTTCTTGCCTCATTCCATCAAAGATGCCACTCACCACCTGTCATATTCAGCAAAAGTAACAATTGCATTGAGCATTTCGATCATAAGTTCCTTCTTTAAAGAACAAAAAGATCATGTAAAAACTAGGAAAATAAAAAGGTTTTAAAAACTAACCTCAGAAATCTTCAACTCTTCTTCAGCAACAGGTTGAGCCATTACTATTGAACCCAATCCGCTATTGTTAATACCTCCATCCTCAGAAAGATTTGAGACCTGCGGTGTATTTGCGGGTGTAGGGGCCAGAAGTGCCACCGGGGAATTCACACAGCCTTGAATATGAAGAAAAGGACGCCTCTCCAGTGAAACTTTTGAAAGCTCGGCTTCTTCTTCAACCTTTTGCAAGAGAGTCTTGACTTGACCTCTTAGCAAAGCCTCACCAGAACCTGGAGTCATCATCATGTTCTTGGCTCTACTAGTCCTCTGCTTAGCTATAGCAGATGATGGTGTCTCCATTGCAAGCCCAACAATTGGTGAATCATTTGTTATATCAATAAGAGCAGACCTTTCTTGTTGCTGTTTTCCATTTCTAGTTCTTGTTTTCGACATACTCTTCTCAGACTCTTCATTCTTTCCTTCTACAAGAAATCATCAGGAAACGATGAATTAAACTTACTAGATCGATAAGACAGGTAATTAACTCTTTTCCCTAACAAAAACTAAACGAAAAAATAGAAAATAACTCACTGGAAACTGGGATACTGTTGTTCAATGCAGCCAAAGTCTGTGACCTGGTGACTCTTCTGGTTGATGAAGGCGTTTCCATTTAACTCAATTAATCAAGCAAGTCACAGGAAAAAAGATTTGGGTCGCCGGAAAGTAAACTTTTCTTGAAGCACGATTGAAGGAAGCTGCACAAAACCTTAAACAGAAAGCAATAAAGTTAATGGGAAAGGAAAGAAAACAGTATGTTTTAAAGGGCAAAGATGAGAGGGCATATCAAATTCGACCGTTGGAAACTAGCCGTTGGAAGGTTCCTTTATTTGATTAAAGAAAGGTACGGTTCGTTTTATTTGATTATGTGTTTGAACAATGTTTTTTACTTTACCTTCTTCATAATTGGGCTTTGTTTGGCCTTTTTTGAAGATTGGGCTGATTTAAATTATGCCCATAACTTGCCCTTTAATGGGGCTGAGCTGATTTTAATCATTTGGGGTAAACTCAATCGTCTGATAATGGGCAATTTTTTTATGAGATTTTTGAGCCCATTTTTATGTTGTGAAGAATTGGGCAAATTTCTTTTGTGAGAATTCGATTGCTATTTTTAAACCCATTTACTGCCCACCTCGAAGGTCCATTGATCTACTAATCCCACTCAACTGGGAATACAAAAAAAATTTTCCCATTTAAAGAGCCTTTGAGATAATACATTTATACCAAAATGAAAACGGAGAAAGAAACAAAATCCTCAAACAAAACCTTGGTTTCGACAAGATGTTGGCACCAAAGTCTAAGGAGTTCGGTTTTCAGTTCTCCAATGTGGCAACCCCTTCAGTCCACAATGCATTTGTCAGGGAGTCTGTGCTCCTCCGTCAGCCTGTTGATTGTGGTACCAATAAGTTTGTTCTTGCAAAACGTAAACGAGACGAAGAGGAACTTAGACAGACAGGAGATATGAGAAAGAAAATAAGGAGGCAAACCGAAAGGTCCAAGGCATTGGCTGAGAGCAATGGTGATAGTGGTCATGCTAGAATTGAAGGTACGAGCAGTAAGAGTCAATGTGGTGATCAAGATCAAGTTGATGCTTTGGAAAGAAACTTCTTGTTGCCTGATCAAATTAATGGCATCAACCCTTCGTTGGAGAAAGGTCTGCTTGTAGGTATTAGCAAGGGTTCTCAAAGAGATAATCTAGACGATGAGCACTCCATGCTGATTTGGAGAAAAGTTTTATCTTTGATTCAGTTAAGCACTTGGAGAACAAGGCACCTAATCATGATGAAAACTCTTATGCTATTTTTTATGAAAATCTGTTTCCTGATCAAATCTATGATCACTTCATCCCTGATTTGGAGAATCCTGAAGATTTGCTTCTTGGTCCTCTTTGTGCTTCGGTGAATGATCATCAGACTTTTCTTAATGATCATGACGTCAATAACCCAAAAATTGCTTCTGATGACTTAAATTTTGATGATGATTCTTGGATCAATATGAATTATCTGAATCAAAATTTGCCTGATGGTGCTGCCGCTGATTGGGACAACGTCCTAGAGATTATTATTTCTTTACAAAAAGAAGATTGGCATGCTAATATATCGGACTTCGACTTTAGCAATGGAGCTGATTGGGAGGACGATGGAATTATTGTGGGAGATTTGTGGAACTACTAATATTTATGTTTTACAATATTTTTTGTAGAAAATTGTTATATATATGTAATGTAAGACATAACTTTGAATAAATAAAATCTTCTCTGTTATTGCTGAATTTATTTAGTTTTACTGTTTTTATTGTTCAATTTACAAATTGGAGTTATCTCAAAGAGCCAACTAATGTTGCATTAAATGTAAAAAATTCCTTGAGATTTCACATTCTATTACGAGGTAGCTGGTTCCAGGTACATAAACAAGAGCAGTTTATTTATAATAATATAATTTATTAGACAAACAAAAAGGACTGTGTGAAAAAAATAATAATAAATTCCCACTACAGACATAAAATTTTGCATTATTTTTAAGGAAAACATGAAACTTCCTCAAGAATCTGAACATATAAATGGAATCATGGACACTTGTGAATTTTGTTGCGTGTGGTTAAATTGGCATAGCAAGGACAGTAGTCATGGTTACCAGCGGTTCCTGGGGGAACACACTTGCATTTGGCACAGCAACTCCCACAGGTCCTTTTGCAGAGATTTGGCCTCTTTGATAGTTTGCACCTTCCTTGACAGGCTACTCCGCAATCTGAATTCAGAACGACATTGCCATGAATGAATCAAGAAATACCAATAAATTTAACCATAAGTTAATGCCAATTTAAGATTCACTTAGTAAGTTAATATTGGTATGTACCGATGGTCTGTGCCTGAGGTGAAGGACTTGGTGCTCCATGAAAGCTCATCTGCAAAACATAGCGGAGCATAGCTAGTAATTAGTTATCAAGAAGATCGCTAGCTACTCCAAGTTTTCACTGATTTGATTTGAATTTAGCTTACCAATTCTTCAGCTTGAGTGAGATGGAGAAGCAAAAGAGAGAAGAAAAAGCGAAGCAGCAACGTTTCTGGAGAGTGCCATCTTGAACTGTAACAAAAGAGAGACCAAGATTTCCTGAAGAAAGGCAAAGATGTGAAGCAAGGTATGGAACTAGTTTGAGAAAAGGGTGTATTTATATAGTGGAGAAAAGAAACATCCCATCTGCAACATACATTTAAAAAAACTTACTTTAGAAGGTCTCCAGGAAAGCCCTGGGTGAGAAGACAGCACTATCATCTTAGAAAAAAGAATGCTATGTGAATTGCCAATTTGGAAACTTGGGGCCTGTCCCAAGTTCTGATAATCCGATGTGATCAAGATCACCAATAGTCAATTATTAATGTCAATAATTTCACTAGTTTTCAATATGAAAGGTCTTTTTTCTATTTCACTTTGACACCCTTGAGCAAATAGCTAGATAACATTCATCTTAAAATAGAAGGGACTGAAATTCCCATTTTTATGTTAAGAGCAGTAATATTCTGGAAGTCGTATCGGGGTAGAAAGCATTGGTGTGGAAGGCTGGAAGCCAGACAGGGTATCGAACATATAATAGTTGGCATTGTTGTTTGACAGATAATGGGGATTTTAGGATGAAAATTATTGCAAAAAGAATTGGAAATAGTTGAACCAAAAAGAACCAAACTGTTCATGAGATTCCAAAACTTTTCATATGCTTTACTAATGGCCTTGAGAGATCCTCCAATAAAACTATTATAACACCTCCAATTTCTTATTCAAATTCAGCATGATTGGTAGGTATATTATTTTTATACAAGGTAAAAATGCTTCACATTGAAATTTCCCTTCTCTCACACTATAAAAGGGAATAAAAACTCTACCAGGGTGATTTGGTTTTTGTCAACATAGGTTAAGATATTTTTATTTATTATTGTTCTTCTGACAAAAACAAAAAGAAGTAATCTGAGTGATGTGTATTATGTAATCTATTTGTTCATTGATAAATAATATATGGGCTTCAATGTCAAAATGGGTTCAAATATGTATCCCCTAGAGTTAAAGTAAGCCCAAATAACTTTCTTGCCTTAAAATATGAGTGTTGAGTCCGCAAAAAATTGACAGCGTAGTTTCGAAGAATGGACTTCGTTCACGCCCATATCCATGATGTCAATGGCAAGAGGGCTGAGAAATGCAAGAAAATTGTGGAGGCTTGTGAAGATTGCGGTATCTTCCAGGTTGTTGATCATGATGGTGTTGATACTAAACTCATTTCCAATTTGACCCATTTTGCTAGAGTTTTTCGCTTTGCCTGAAGAAGACAAGCTTCGCTTTGATATGTCTGGTGGCAAGAAAGGTGGCTTCATTGTCTCCAGCCACCTTCAGGTGTTGCCTTCAATTAGGCCCTGTTGTGTTGAACATGGCTATTGGCTAATTGTTGTTGACATAACTGGTCTTCCCAGGTGCACATATTTTCTTCTATGACTATCTTTTGTCTCAATTTGCGGTGTTATGAAACTTGAAAATTCATGTGAAGACAGTACACATAGTTGTTCATTGATTAAAGCGAGGATAAATCTTTTGAAGATTACAACATGAAGCGTTGAAAAATAAATAATAGAGAAAATATGAACTTTTTTCTTTTTAACAGCATCCATCTGCAAACATTGAGACAGTATATAAAGGATTGGTCTTCATTACAGGAAGAAGTAGTGCAAGACTGGCGCGAGATTGTGGCATACTTTTCACACCCACTTAAGACCCGGGATTATTCAAGGTGGCCCGACAAACCAGACGGGTGGATAGCAGTGACAAAGGAGCACAGTGACAAGCTGATGGGCCTAGCCTGCAAGCTTCTAGAAGTGTTGTCAGAGGCAATAGGCTTAGAAAAGGGGGCTTTGACCAAAGCATGTGTGGACATGGATCAGAAAGTGGTGGTTAATTTCTATCCGAAATGTCCACAACCCGACCTCAGTTTCGGACTCAAGCGCCATACAACCCAGGGACCATCACACTGTTGCTTCAGGACCAAGTTGGTGGGCTTCAGGTCAGAAAGGACAATGGTAAGACTGGGATCATTGTTCAACCAGTTGAAGCGGCCTTTGTGGTCAACCTTGGAGATCATGCCCATACAATTTCAGCTTCACATCCCCTAGCCTAACTAAGCTCTATTGACTTGGTGCCTATGAAGCTTAGAGTGATTGGAAATCAATGAAATTGCCCGATTAGAAGATTGAACTGAAATGTCCATTGATGTGGCTTATGGCTTATCCAATCAATGTAACGTGGTCCCAATTCCCAAGTTTACTGTAGAATTGACTGGTGTGGACTAGTCAGAAAGTGTTAGAATTTACTTGTGTTGAGCAGTATCTTTGCAATGGGAGGTTCAAGAACGCTGATCACCAAGCTGTGGCGAACTCAAGACTGCAGCAGATTGTCAATAGCCACAATCCAAATCCCAGCACCCGATGCAACAGTGTATCCACTCAAGATTAGACGGGGAGAAAACAACTCTTGAGGAGCCCATCACATTTGCTGAGATGTATAGGAGGAAGATGAGCAAAGATCTTGAGCTTGCCAGGCTAAAGAAGCTGGCCAAGGAGCAGCAACAGTTGCAGGAGATGGACAAGTCCAAACTCGAAACCAAGCCTCTGGAGCAAATCCTTGCATAACCTTCATTCTACTGGTTGCGTTGCCAGCTTTTTGTTTTCCATCGTGCTTGCTAATTTAATGCGTTGGTACTCGATCTTCTAACGATGGTGCCTATTTAATTTGTTGTAGCAATGTGTTGGGCAAGCCATTTACCCACATTTGATGTTTGTCATATCTATACTCAAGTATTAGTAGTAGATGAAAAGTTAAGTGTCACTGCCTAGCTTCTTACTTCCATTGGAGAATGCATATGACCAACTGAACAGCGGTTCTA